ATTCTTTTTGCATATTTATAGAAATTCATCATTGCGCGACTTTCCGTGCAGTGCGTTGGTGGCACGGCAGTTAGGACTCTCGCCGACCATGCACATGGTCCGAGGTTCGATCCCCCGCCAACGCACACCAGATATCTATGGTCGGCCTGGTAAATTTGGGCTACCGATATCACATGCTGAAAATTTCATACTTGTTCCAAAATACTGTGTGGAATCAAGCTATAATAAAATTAAAAATTAAAATTAAAAAAGTATGAATAAATAAAAGTGTGAATAACTAATCAGTATTACTTCCCTAGTTCAGAACATATTACTAACTGACTACAAGTGTCTAATACCAGAATACATGTAAAACACAGTGCACATGACTGTTAATGACTACACTAGAGACGTAACTGTGATCTGACACCTTTTCCTACAGTCGCAATCTGAAATGCTTAATGGTGAAGCATTCACTTGTACATAGGTTTGAGTCTTTCGAAGGGAGATGATTATCACGAAGATTATGGTTGTATTTCTTGAGCAGAAAGCCTGTGTAAATAAGAATTTCCCACAGAACAATTCCAAGCATACAAATGATTATTTTTTTCTATAGCTGCTCGCTAGTGACTTGCTACAGGATGGAGTTTCCTGCAGTTATAGTGAGAAGTCGTGACCAGTGAGGTCCATCCAGTCAAGTGTGAGGATAGATTTCCCACCGACGACATTAGTTATGGTTGAGCTAAATCACGAAGTGGTAGAAGTTAGAATTCATGGAACAGCCATGGAATGGTATACGAGCCAGCCTGCCTTGTAACCAAAAGGTCCCGGGTTCGACACCCAGTGGGTGCATACTGCCGATGATTCCCAAATTAGGATAAAACAGCTGTCCAGTACTCCCCGTTGGTTTTTCAATGGTTCTCTAACTCATATCAATCCGTGTTCAACTCATAAAATACAACCCATCAGTTTCTCTTTGAAAAGACATTATACGCTCTGGCACTGTTTCACTTGAAACAACAAAGTATAAACAAATCTATTCATTGAAACTGATGCATTCCTCAAGTATGTCATGCAACAGTTACTTTGTAACAACTTATAAACAACTCCATTCAACTAGAAATAAAAACAAAATTTGAATCAAAAACACCCAATCAATTCGATAAAACCAGTAAGACCTGATTCTGCTTGAAGGAACTTCCGAAAAAATAAATTAATTCACCTTTCAAATGAAAGCTTCCGTTTGTCATAATACTTGACACAGTGAATGAAAACACTCTTCCGGTCAGAATTCTATCGATTAGTTTCGTTAGACTGAAATTATGACAGCAGCAATAGGGGCAGTCCCAACAACTACAACAACAACAACAGCAATAGCCAATAACTCATCTTCCTTAGTCAATCGAATCATAAATTAGCCGTAATTTGTAGACAAATCAAAGTGGAGAAAAATCTATGTAGATTTTATTGATTATTCTGATTAGGAAACCATAATTCACATCAGTAGATCGCTTTTATAACTAAAATACTTGCCACTTTCTTACAAAATCAGCTGACCCCTATATATAGTTGACTGAAACATTTGTCTTTAGATATATGTACATAAAAAATGAGGAAGACATAACAATGAATGCGAATTTCCTTATCCATAAATCACTCTTTTAAGTTGTACAACTGAATTTTCATCCTTGAAGTGGGTATTATTCAAAAAAATAGTCGAAGACTGGTATTTTTAACCTGGAAAATAGTTTACCTAATATAAGGAATTATCGAGAAAAGAATGAGACATAGAAATCGGTATTACATGATGACAATGAGAATGAGATTTAAAAAAATCAAAATAGGAGAGAAGAATTTTGTGATGAGACTAAGAGAAATCTGAGTGAGAAAAAAAATATCGACGAAAGGAGGAATGATTAAAAGTGGAGAAAAATGGACATAGTAAGGACAATGAGTGTGCTTTGGACAAATAGATTAAGTTTACAGTCTCAACATTCCAGTGAGTTATTGAGGACATCTGTGAACGACTGTATCGCAGCTATACAGAAGTGCCTGATGTTCAGAGTTCTAACTTTGTCCATTCATCACTATTCCACAACGTATTTAGCACAGGTTTTCTCAACAAATGTAGATCTGTAGTTTACCAATTTGTCAACAACTTCAGGAATCAAAATTTTGAAGCATCTGCGATTCTTGCCGAATACTATTCTTCACGTTTTCAGCTTCTCTTCTTATTTTTATTTCTTTCTATATTTAGTTGTTCAGGCAGCTTCAAGCTTTAGGCTTTGAAGTTTCGGTATACCTTGTGTTTAGTTTTTACGTGGTAAATTTTCTAGCTTTACAACTAACCTCTCCTCTTTTCTGGATTCATTACCAACTAAGTGAGATTCAGGAGTGCGTCAGTTAAGAATCGAACACCGACGACGTGCGTGGTTGGAGAGCATTCTACTCCTGTACCAGTGACATTACTTTTAGCCAAGTGTCAAAATTTTTAATCATTTAACCATATGTCAAAGTTTTGGTTAATTTCAAAGAAGCTTGTCTACTGGATTTAGTATTGAAATGACGCCGCATAATTTGCCAAATGCCGTTTCTAGGATACCGAGATTTTGACCTTGTTATGAGGAATGAATAATACTCACTGGCTGGGGTTGGAACCCCGGAACCCCAAGTTACAAAAACGGTCGTCGACTAGTCAAACGCTGGAAAATGACTCAATGACTAATGAGTTCTAACTCCTACCATTTTGTGATTTAACGCGACCGAAGTCTGGACTTGATTGACTCCAGTGGTCGCGACTTCGTCCTGTAACAATTGACTAACGTTTTGACCTCCGATTGATATCAGTTAGAGGACCACTGAAAACCAGAAAGTCACTGATACTCACTGCCGATGAGTCCCAAACTAGGACGAAACAGCTGCTCAATGATTCTTTAACTGATACCAATCCATAGTCAAACTTAAAAAACAAATCGAATCTCCACAAACTAATTCTTCAAAATGAATAATGCTCAAAATGTGATTTAGTAAATCAAACAGTTTCACTGTGTGCTACATCCAGTTAGCAAGCTCACACATAATTATGATCTAGCAAAGTGCCTATATTAAATTTCTGGTAAACAGAGTGAAATGTTGTCAGGAATTTTAGATAAAAAAATATAACTTCTTTTCAAGCCATAAATTAATGATTTAAATGTAGGATATTTGACATAAAAATCACCTTTTCTAATTGTTAGTTTCAAAATAAAAGAGAGTGTGAATGACTTTGAGTAGAAATCTTTCCAATCAAGCACGTGGTTTGGGCTTCACATCCTAACGACACACTCTTAAATGTCGCCATGTTTACTGGTCAGTGATAAGTCTGGCGGGAAAAACCAGTCCTCACGAGAACCACAGCATCACTATTCAAACATCAAAGCATTAAATAAAGCCTTATGTTCCATTTAGAAAGCAAAACAGTGACGAAAAGAAGAATGCTTTTAAAGAATATCCTGTTGACTGAACGTTCCTTTAAAATCGTCCAAATTTTTCAGACGAACAGTATCTGTATCTAAAGTGTTTGTTTGTAGTTGACTTTCATTCTCTGTGATGAATCATCTTGTCACACACACAAACACACATTCATGAGATCTTAATTATAAACAATTTTCACTGTTATTCTAGACAGCCTTATAAGGATTAACTCCTTAAAGTACAACCTCAGGAATACATAACAAGTTGAGTTGAGTATCTTTTTCCGTAACACTGTATTAACCAAAGTATGGCCAACCTACAGAACAGCGATAGGGGAGTGCAAATACATCAATCACCTCACACGCTTATTATTCGTAAGACAATAGAACCTACCACTAGTACAGCGCTACTATGAACGCTGTGCAGGAATTGAGGCGCAAATTTCATCCTCATCTTGTTCTTAAGTACTGTTTTGAACAATGGGTTGATGACAGCACTATTTTTCAGTTACGTCTGGGGAAAATATCATCTTTAATGCGTTTCACCATTATAGTATGAATTTCTGTCATAGATAAACAGCTTTTTATGTAGATTACACATCAGGTCCAGTAATCTGACGAATGGTATCCATGCAAGGTGATTGGTGAGTTCACACTCCAGGGCTGCTGTTCATTAGGTTGGCCATATGGTGACTTGTATGAAGTTATGTTTGCTCACTGAATGATAAGGCAACATTTACACCAGCATGAAGTGAGAACTATATACTTAAGCCCTAAATAATAGTTCCTTTATTAGTTTATAGTGTGTTTGCACATAAATAGAGCTTTCTATGAAAACATAATGATTCGTTTGATAGCTTTCTGAGAGGCTGATCATCTTCAAATAACATTTCTTCACAAATTTCAACGTCAACCCGGAAAAGTAGTGGGAAAGAATCAGCACATATTCTGATCTGTCACTTGGGTAAATAAATCTATAATCATCACTACAAAGCTACACCTTCAGGTAGAATAAAGTCCAGAATCTTCAGCCTACTATTAGTGTTCACGGTTAGTCACAGGCAGGTTGAGAAATCAATATCCCTCAATGTATTAAGGTAGCCCACTTAATATTTGTCTAAATTCGTCTGTCTGATCATTCTTTAAACCTTAACGCTCATAACAAGTAATCTAGCTTCATGGCTACATCTCAAACCTGGCTTTTATACAGATCAGTCATTAACAACTTTAAGAACTAGATTTAGGATACATATTACCTCGTAGTGACCAATCAATTTACCCATAAAAGTCTTACAGCAGATCAGTTCTCTGGTAGAACAGCTCAATGGTAAGTTTTCTGACTGCAGAACTAGGTGATACATATTTGAATCTCCCTTCGAGACTGCAGATACTCCTTGCTGACTGCTGGTAATCGATATGACTTCCTGACGATAAGCATAGGACAACACCGGTGACAAATAACATGCTTAAAAGTCTCATGTCAAATATTTAGTAACCTACATGTTCGCCAAATTCAACTTTGATTTGAAGTGATTTACCAGTCTATTTTCTTTCCTCTTTTCCATATAGAAACTTCATAATAATTTATCAACTGGTTGTGAAACAGGCACATCATCTTCATCTAATTCATATTCTCTGGCTGCATCAAAAGCGAACAGTCAGCACGCCTCTGACGAATCCCATCTGCCGAAGTCTAACTCAAAGTCTACAGAGAGTAATTTAACTTCTTTTCAAGAACAGTCTATCTCTACTGATAGTATGAAGACTAGATCAAGTCCTATACTTTCTACAGAAGATAGTCAACAGTCGACGACACCAGATTCTTCATTTATCCCATCCCCAAATTTATCATCATCATTGTCAGCCTCACCCAGATCTGTTAGTCGAAGCAAATGCAATGCATCGGATGTAACAGCTAAAGACGACTCCACTCTGTCATCAGAAATTCAAATAAGGTATGAAAATATTCTGAAAATATAAGATTCTGCTCTTTGTGTTTTTCTGTGAGACTTTTTTCAATATTGAAGCTGTATGGAACTGATGTCACAAAATCTTTTATTGAGACACTTGTGGCGAATGTCCGTGGAGCTCATGATACGCATAGCATCCGGTTTAGGAGCTGTCATTTGAATCCACCTGCCCCTGATTTTTCTCCATTCCTTTGAGATATAAAAAAACAACAACACAGGGCTTCAAACTTCAAGCTTTGACGTTCCAGGAGCAATGAGGGTGTTTTTAAGGGGTGACGTCGCCAATATCGTGCCTTCTTTGCTTAACTTACTACCTGATAGGTGTGGTTTGGGAGAGCATCGGTCGGGAATCAAAACCTACCTACTGCATGGCCGTAGAGCACTCTACTTTGCACCTCATCAAGTGATACTACAGCGCAGTCATTCTCAGTGTCTAAGCGTTATTCATCAGACTACAGCGTAATGTGTACTACGTGTTGTGAAACGAATATGATCTCATATCATTTCTTCATCCGTTAATATTTCTGGACGGACGGGGTTGACCATTTAGTTGCTTTTTATTGTGATGGCTCAATGAATGGATACCAAAATTTGGTTAATCAGTTAAGTAAAGGTAAATGTAAAGTGTAATCCTGAATTCAAACCATCGGCTCTCGATTAACTGACCTAGAAAACTCAGATGCTAACCAGGTCATCGTTTCACCCTCAACTGTCTCCCTATACATCACTCTCAGCTCGCATATCATCAGATAATCTCCCCTATGCAGTGAATTTTTATCATATTATCTCGTTTTAATGTGTCACCTATGTATCGCATGTTATCATTATTCCGCTACAAATCAGAAAGCGACTCTTCTAATACCTTATCAGGCAGACAGTCACATAAGTATCCACCTTAAAGACAAGTGCATGAAAAAGCTCATATTGGTTTGTATAAGTTAAACAGTCATTACATCTCATTACAACAAGATCACTATTGAATTTTAGATTTTCCCGTCGACTGACTGCACCGAAGTGCTCTGTCTCAGGTTGACATGTTGGCTTCTTGTGCAGATGCTTAGACGATGTCTGGGCATTTAATTGGTGTATGGTAACTAGCAGGGTTATCCAGTAGGCTCATTTTGTCTTATTTGGGACTCGTCACCATCCATCAATTAAATACTAATTAAATGCCCAGACATCGTCGAAGCATCTGCACAAGAAGCCCACATGTCAACCTGAGACCGAGCACTTCTGTCCAATCAATTGACGGGAAAATCCTAAATTCAATTCAATTAATATGACCCGTTGCGCAAGAGGTGGCTCTCGTGGCCAAAGTGGTCTAGTGCATAACGCTTTGACGTTTGAAACTATAGGTACTGGATTCGAGCCTCAGTGGGAACATCATCACTCACTGAGAAATGCAGGTACATCCAGATGATGAGTCCCGAATAGAACGAAATGCGCATCTAGGATTCCACTGCTAGTCACCATCCACCAATTAAAGATCGCTATTGATTAATAAATCAGTTACCTATTACTCCTCACTCGTAATTTCCACCTAGACTTTTCCATGACTTGTGACTGAAACAAGTAGCTTCAGCTTTGAAGTTTCAGCAGCGCCGGTGTTGGTTTTACTGGTCTGGAGGTTGTTGCCTCCCACTGAAGCTCCTATAAGCTGGTAAACTAGGCCAGGTTTGGGAGTACGTTAGCCAGCAATCAAAATCGGACCTATCGCTTTGCTAACTCACTCCTGTTTCTGTGAAATTCCACAGAAAAACTGACTGGCTGACTGAGTTTCACCGGAATGCAACAGTTCAAGTTGCTACACACCATATAGTACACAAAGGTAGAGAAAGAAGGGATAAATGAGATTCAAAAGGCCTTTAATGAGAAGAAATGTATGAGAGAGAGAAAGTAACACAGAAGAAGAGGGTTTAAACAATATTGGAGATCACAAACAGCTATTGTATCCGTATTTCGAGCCATATCACTGGCAGTTTTAAGCTGTTAGTTCTTATCATTCCAAGGACCACAATCAGGTGGTCTAGAACTATGTAACTCAAACCAACTGCCAAAAGCTTCATGCACTGATTCTAGATTTTTGCCTTCTAACTCCTTTACAACCTATTCTGATGTCAGCTGACATCAGGAAGGTAATGGTTTGACATGCGTAACACGTATCACAGCCGGCCTAACTGATGTAGCTTAACAACGTCATCGGTTGCCTTTTGTCCCTACATGAAAATCTACGCCTCACCCCAATATTGATGAAAATATCATAGAACTTAACACTGGAGAGAGGACGCTACCCCGCTGAAATGGCATTTATTGTGAATTATGCTCACAAAAGTTTCAACTTCTTTGAATGCATTCCGCTTGTCATAAGTTAAAATGTTCCACTGAAATTAGTTACACTATGAATTTCCTTTATTTCCTTTTGTTTTACAGGAATCCGCTGAAAGCAAATCATAAAAGAACAGAACTTTTTACTAAACTATCAAATAATAAATCTGATCAGCATGAAAATAATCCCTGCGATCTTCACAGTCACTCAACAGATGACATTGAATCTCCTGCCTCTAATGATTTATCAATCAATGTCACTTCACCTAACGATATGCATGAATTGACTAGAGAAATAAAAAGTGAAATCTCCTCCCCACTTGGTTATAAAGAACCAACAGAAATGATAAAATCGAATTCCACTTCTGATCTCTTTGAATGTTCCACACCGATTACATCAGTCATTGTTACAACTTCCATATTAGTCGCTAATACAAATGAACCTCTGAAAGGGAATGCTTCATCAAATTCAACTGGCACATATTCTCGATCGAAGGTTAACTATACCTCAAGAGACACAGAACACTCGAATTCCCCGCATAATTTCTCGACAAATCGAAGAAAATCTCGGTATGCTTCGTACAACAACAACAATAATAATAATAACAGCTACACCAGTAATCATACTCATGGTACAATGGATTTCTCTTCTCTCAATCTGAAATCATTGTTAAATAATAAATATATGAAAAACTTATTAATGCAGCCTTTCTTTATGCCAGACTGTATGAATGCATCTGGCTATACAACTGTGAACAACTATGAATTGGCTCATTTACGGAAGTCGATTTTCAACAAAGCCGCTGCTGCAGCGGCTGCAGCTTCCCTTCTGCCTGATCCATCACTGTTTATCAACTCACCTTGTTATTACTGGTTACCATCAACTGGATTTAATAATACTACTCCAAATACTCCGAATAACAATAGTAATAATAATAATAATAGTAACACAAATACAACATATTCAACAGACTGTATAAAATTGTACAACGATAAAATTTCTAATACTAATGGAAACACTAATCCAGTTTATATTAATGGAAGCAATCGATTTATGCTGCCGCAGTTCAACGGTCAAGTCAATAATCATGGTATAGGTGAATTGAAGCCGTGTGAAATTCTCAATGAAAATATGATGTCCACTTCAGCTTCAAAAGCATCTGTTTCAAGTAAGTTTAATTGCTTTTGCGAATATTGAAATACCAAACCCCACCTCAATATTGTTATTTTCTTGGGTCTTAAATTGTGTATTGCATTTTTTGTGAGCCTGAAGTTCAATAGCGGAATGGTTGAAGTTCCGTTACGAGGTTCAATCTCTGTATGTCACCCAATAAAGAGTGAAGGTTGAGTGTGAGGCTAGAAACTGCACGTCGTCAAAGAAATACCACGGCTACACACCATAGTTCCTTGAATCTCTATTTTCAAGCGTAAGGTGTGTGGTGATTTGACTGCTTTCAGGGAATATTGTGAGTTACTTTATTGCTTATTAGTGAATGACTATGGGATGAATTTTCAGGAGCACTTCAATGAGAAAATGTGCCACTGGATTCCTACTCATCAGGTGTGTGTGCTCAAGGTGTAACAACTAATTTTATCATGGGTGCTTGCCTATGAACAACCCTAAACTAGAAGAAACAGTTGCCCAATATCCCCTGAATTTCAATGGTTCTCTGAATTGTGTCTGTCTGTTGCGAAATCTATCTTGCAGTGATTATTCGTCTTGAAAGGCTTTTCAGAAAGTTTTTACTAACGCTAACTAGTCAGTTATAAATACAAAACTTCACAAATCAGTGACGTGAGCTCACTGAAAACATCAGTGGTTATTCACCAATCGTGGTGCTGAACACTAAATCCACTGACAACTTAAAACGTTGTTTCAGTATTAAACTTAAGTGATAGTTTCGGTACAATGAGAGATTATTTCTACTGGTTACTAGCACCCGTGATATCCTGGTGTGGTGAGAGCTGGCTGCTAGCCAAAGTTGGCAGACAGCAATTGACGTCAATGTTTATGTCCCCAATATTGATGGTGAGAAAATGAGAACAAAGGCTTTGCGTAGGCGGATACAGTTAGCATATGGATGATCTGACAGCCACAAAGAGATGCAAGGTTAACTTTCTGTGAGAAACAACCAATCAAAAGAATGCATTTTCTACTAACAATAATCTACAATAATGTACATTAAAATCTATAAATATGTGTTGATTTTCCCTAATAAACGATCTGTTGCCTGGCCCTTGTCTTCTGTTGTTACACCGGAACATCCCATGACGTGACCTCCAGAGTTCCAGCTACACAATACTGATTCACGTGAAAAATATGATCAGACTTAATAACCAACAAAAGTTCTAAATAACACTGGAACATACCTCTGGAAGATTCTGAGGCCCATAAAATAAAACTCTTGAATGTTCTATCTTCAAGAGTACCAGTAGCTCGTGGAAATTTCTGTTGATGTGTTATTTTGACTGCATACAGAAGTTTACTATTATTTTTTTAGATTCCGAATAATGGTTTGAATGAGTAGTGAACAGTTGATTTCTAAACTTCACAGTCTTTTCATGCATCTTTCATTGTTGAAGTGATCTGAAGCAAGAGAAGAAACACATGTCTAATATTTCTTGATTTTCAGTGGTTGTTCAGTTGATATATTTTGGACTAAACAGTTTATTTTTACCATAGTTACGTCAGTGATACAGGTGATTGAGTTCTATCCTAACTACGACTGACAGCCTAACAGCCAACCAAACACCAGTTTTTTTTGCCTAAAAGTTAACTGATTATGCTTGAATGAACTATAGACTCAAAATATTATTTAGTTTATCATTGCATATTCATTAGTCTGACTTGTTTTATAAGGAAACGAATGCAGATAATATATATGTCTCTTGAGATATATTTCTGAACACTCACAAATATATGGAATACTGGGATCAACGTTCAACGTTGAACAAGTTTACTCAAGATTCGGTGAGTAAATACATCAGACATCAGTATTGATTACCTTCATATCTTCTCGCCAAGATGAATGTTTTACGCGTGCTAAAAATACTCCTACTATGTCGGTCACATCAGGCTTGACTATGTGTAAGGTTTTAAAATGTGTACAAAATAGCTGAGTGTTGGCGACCGTTTCAAAACTGTGCATTTCTGTACACTAAAAGAAAGCCTGATGATCAGTAACTTTATTCTCTCTCGATGCACTTTCAAACCTTGCTTACTTTACTATCTGACAGTAAGCGAGGAAAAGGGGGAAGGTTAGGCATCGGCCTAAGAACTCCAACTCATTCAAAGCTTGGAACCCGATGCACCCCTTCCAGACAAAAGATACAAAAAATGTTTGGTTACGGGATTTCATCATGAGCTGACATTAGTTAGAGAACCACTGGAAAGCCAACTGGGAGTACTGCACTTCTTTTTCGTCCTAGTTTTGGACTCTTCATCAGTACGCACTCATAGAGGTCGTGCTATTTCGTGAATTGGCAGAAGTTAGAATTCATGTGCTGGTCCCAGTGGCTTAATGGTCTATGAGCTCGCTGGTCTTGTAACCAGAAGGCCATGGTTTTGGACGCTGGTGAATGCGTACTGCCGAATAGTGCCATACATACTACGACGAAACGGCTGTCCATTACTCCTAGGTTTTCCAATGGTTCTCTAACCAATGTCAGCCCAAGGTGAAATCCTGTAACCAATCAATCAAATCCCTACAAACCAGTACTTGAAAAAAATTAAAAGTAGTCAATCCAACTCTTTTAACTTTCACACAGACTAAGGGTACAACAGAAACTCTGTAGATCGATTAAGATATCACTAAACAGTTTACGAAAATTAGGATTTTAACATCTTTTTACAGATTTTATTAAAAGTCGGTTAATTTGAAGCCTTTTAGTAGTATATACCTGATATTCGCCCAGTTTCGAATTAATTACATTACTATTCAAACAACCTATGCTTTTAAAAAAGTATTAACTTCAATAGGTTCTTAGTTGGTTTCTTGTCAGAGTTACTGTGTCTTATCCTATCTGGCTGGTTGCCTATCTCGTCTTCACTGTCTAGCAAAGACAGTTGATGGAGTTTCGAAGCAGCCTTTTGGAAATGCTTTAGGTGACGCGCGTGCCTATATGGAATCACCGACTTGAATTGAATCTTAAACATACTCATCTTGTCCCTTAGACACTGATTTTGGATCAATGAAGATCTGTTTTGCTTTTTCTATCCTGACTTTAACATCCTCATTCATTCAGCCTGTAAATGAAACGATGTTGCCTGGATAAGTGAAAGAAATGACTTCTTTGAGGTCTTTCCTACTGATGGAGGCTGGTACCTGTTGTTTTTGGTGGTGGTGGTGGTCATCGGATATCTTCATCACCAGATATCTCACAACGAGAAGTTCAGTGAAGCCTTTAAATTACAGACAGGAGGAAGATAAGAACACTTATAATCACCAATAATATTCCTGACTGTAGTATACGGGATCCTACAGCTGATTATCGGGAGCTAAAAGACACGCGTACGTTGGACCTATGGAAAGACACTCGGAGATTGAAACTTCACAGCCGATTTATGTCTACTGCCGACTACCATCTCCCACTTTTTTAATACCTTTTGTCTACCTCCAGTTCTCTCTCTCTCTCCTCCTTTGAAAAGTCTCCTTCTTCTTCCATTTAAAACAAAACATGCCTATTGAACATCGATTTTGTTTAATTGATAATAATAGTAATAATAAGCAGAAGTACGCACAGAAACTGCAACTCAACAAAATAAGAAAAAAACAGGCAATTCGAAATGCATAATTAGAGAGAAAAATTCAACTGGAAGATGAAAAGATTTACCTCTCAATTAATTATTTTGCTTAACTCATGACTCTTCCCATCTCTCTGTCCCGCTGGATTTCCCCCCCCCACTTTTCTTTTTTTGAATTCCTTTGCCTCTCGATAAGCTGAGGGGATAATTATATACAAAAAAAAAATCTAAAAAAGTGAATAAATAAACTTAATAACAAAACTATATTTTTCCGTTTATTACTTTCTTTTGGATCTTTTTTTGATCGTCTCTTGCTTTCTTCCCGGCTGTCGATCTCTCCTTCATAGACTTGCATACATGCACAAACCCTAAAGCGCTTGCTGATGTTTTCATCTCCAGAAATACTCAGGAATTAAAAGAAAGTCAAAATTGTTCTTTCTTCTTGTCCTATTCCTGTCATCGTTATTTTTAGACTATCACTATTATTATTATACTTAGACTAGCGTAGCTACAGTGAATTTAACCCCTGGATAGATATGAACCAATTCTGTGGAGACAGAGTAATTTCAAGCTCTTTGTACTGAAATAACATCAGTCATAGCTTTTGATTAATTAAAAATAAATACAACGAAAAATATAATTAATTAGATATTCAAGAAATATACATCTATATGTATAATCTCTCTATCTATCTACCTTACTCCGGCTATACATAAAGCAAAGAAAATCATAAGGTAGATACTGATTAAACTCATTTATAAGAGCCACTTTTGATTTTAACTGGTTGAAAGCGTTTCCATTCCTTTGCTTTCCGAGTCAGACACATAGCTTCAGGCTTGTAGCCCTGAAGTTTCGATAGCCTTAATCCCTGATCTTCTTTCATGCGGCTTTACTGTCAAATAATAAACTGCATATATTGGGGTTAGAAGCGTGTCAGATAAGAGCCTGAAACCCCACACCACATTCATTATATTATTATTATTGTTTCCTCCAGTTCCTAGAGGAACATAGGGCTTCAGCCATCCGTCTCCATTGCGTTCGGTTCTCTGCCAACGTTTACACTTGGCTCCACGTCTGCCCACATGCTTTCATCTCCTCTTCATATGACCTCTTCCAAGTTATCCTTGGACGACCAATTCGCCGTGAGTTTCCCGTTGTGGATTACTTGGCACGCAGCATTGTCGTAAAACTGTTGGATGAGATGTATAATTGTTGGCGGCACTCCGTAGTAGCGAAGTAGTTGCTAAGTCACCTCTCCATCGACGCTGCGCTGTCGAAGGCCTTTTCAAAGTCAATGAAGTAGAGATAGAGAGCTGACTGCCATTCAAAGCTCTGTTCAGTGATGATCCGTAGTGTTGCCATTTGGTCTATGCATGATTTGTTCCTCCTGAATCCAGCCTGTTTTGGTAGAAGTTTTTCATCTAG